AATATACATATATACATTGAATTCATTATCTTTTATTTTGACGTCAGCAGCCAGGAAGAATACCGATAAAATACACAACCATGGTGATAATCAGCTGTCTTTGTCGAGGTCAAGCAAAAAACATATATGAATATATTAAATCCAACCAGTCCACCTATATGTTGTATGCACAGTTTCTTTATTTGGATGCTTTTCTTTGTTTTTGTTTTTTAGAATAATGTAAGTGCTAATAACATATATATGCGTCTGCTTATACGTTCTGATGGAGAAGCACATCTATTCACAGATGATGTGCGTGGACTACATCAAAATAAAACCACCCATATATCCATAGATAATTGCGAATTTCTCGCATGATGCACAAATCTTTCACTCAACTGTTACACACCCGTAGTAAATGAAATATTATATCTATTAGGGCAAAAATAACAATGAACGTGTAAGAGAACATATAAAATTGTACAACAGGAAACACTAATTTTCACAGTAACAATTATGTGTCCCAACAAAACAAAGTTATTATCATAATTGGAATGAAGTTACTGAGGCATTTAATAGCATTAGAAATATTTATAGAATAATCAACTAATTAAAACTACACAATTAACTAATTAATATATTTATTGGAGAAATATTCATGGAAAGCGGCCGTGCTAGGAAGAATATCCACCAAATTACTACAGTAAAATATATTTTCATGTCTGTACATTATAATGCTGTTCACGTCTTGTTTTCCCTAGATGTCGAACTCAAAATTAATATCACCGATATTAATATTCACGCCATGACTAGGATTATAACAATTATTTATTTATTCATTCATTCATTAAATTTGTTGTCCTTTATCTTGAAAACAGCAGCCTGGGCAGACAATCAAATTGCTACACAGCCAGCCGTTTTTTTGGTGACGTGAATGAAGCCAAGCATAAACAATTATGAATTGCTGGAATTGTATCACACGCATAGTTAAATTCAATAAAACAAATATAAGAAGTCTGGTGTAGATAGATTTCTTGTTAACCCCCCGACTTGTTAAAACGCGGTAGTCGTCGTGCCGCGTCCTGTTCGATATGGGACTCATAGCGACGTATACAACGCGTGTAAAATACATTGTTTATTTACATGAAATTTGAACACGCGCAGCGCGATGACCACCGCGCTTTAACCAATAGCATGTAGATTTTTTGTCTGTTGTTTTGCCAATTTAGGTTTCTTAGTTTCTCCTACGGTTTAAATTATTTCTTTATTCATTACATTTGGTATTCTATATTTTGCATAATATTCATGTTGTCATAATTCTCTTTCACTGGGATAGAGATTTGACTTGGTCACCATTATTCTATTATTAAATTTGATTCTTATCTAACCTTTGCTTTCTGGTGTCACTCTTGTAACTTGCTTTCTGTTAAAAATAAGAGAAGAAGTAAAGACTTACTGGTTTATTTAAACGTCACGAAACCATATATAAATAATAGTTATCAAATGTGTTTATCACTGTATAAGTAGATGGCCAGTGCAACAGCAGAATAAATAACCTAAATGCTTCATTACGAGTAAAACCATCCTTTTTAACTGTTTGATTTAAAAATAGTGCCTTAACTACCTTGAAACTAGGTTTAATATTTAATATAATTTGTTTATTTTATTTCATTGAATAAATGAATGAAAGAACAAAGTATGCACTAACTAAGTAATCTTAATAGACGAGATAACCGTAACGATAACCGAGATTACATCGTACACACGGCTCAATTTTTGAATACATATAACGCCATGTAAAAGTTTGTACTCCATCAAAAATTAGTCTCATACCCGTACAGAGTCTTCGACTTTAAATTGTTCAAAATATTGGCATTCATGACACAATGCAATAGACACAATGCTTATATCTCTATGCGGCATATTTAATGAAATAAATGCTCATATACGTCACCATTGTCAGCAGACATACTGTGCATGTAGCGACAAATTTATTGATTTTAGTATTTTCAATAATAAACAGATTTATGTATTTATATATCCTGCGAGTGTGCATATCATGTAACTGTCACAAGTTGAATATCCGATGGAATTAAACTTTTACGGTGCAGTTATCCATGCTCAAGTTAGTATACTGGATTCCCCAGTGCTAGACATACGTTAATGCCATGTGATCTAATCATTACATTCATTTTCTTTATAGTTATTATTCTATTGAGCCTCAGTGTCGAATTCTAGTATGGTGATTACCACACACCTGTGCAGATTTGCGTCTGATTTAAACGAGCTCCTCTAAGTCACAAGTATTCTACTTTTTTGAAAACAATTTAAGATACCTTTTGGAAAATTATCCTGAACAAACCTGAAGGTATGACATTGTTACTCCATTACGAAACGTTTGAAAAGTGTAATTGATAGAGCTACCATTCATTTAATTGTGTGCGAGATAACTGATTAAACTTTTCACATTACACGTACATTATTTAAAACAACAACAATATTTTATATTTCTGATTTTAATATTGCAAAATTTGAAACAATAATGATAATTATTAAACATCTACCACCGTAACGCCAGTTACAGCTTGCCATAATTTTGTGGTATTTTACGGGGTATTTTCATCCTACCATATTAGGAAATGCGAATTCCAAATATGGAATTATTACGCGCGTAAGCGCTCTCTAATATTAAAAACAAACATGGCTACCACCAGAGTTTGACCGGGCTCCAAACAAAGTAGCTCGCTGATTCTGTTTAACTTTTTGGATTTCGGCATTCCCATGATGTATCCTTGTAAGGAAAAGATGTATAATAATAAGTTATTACGAGAATACCTCAAAGTATGCACTCAGACAGTACGTCGCACTTTGACCTCCACTGAGCGTTTTAGGCGGGCCTAAATAATAAAGTTTTGACTGTGTGAAAGAACTAAGTTTTATTCTTGTTCATTCAACAACAAAAAAAAATATTAGGGGCGGCCTTAGCCAAGATAAAAACTGCTTGAGTTTGGTATACTAAGACTGTAATATAGTCATTACTCTCTGAGTAACATCGTATTTGCACCGACAGTAACATAACATAACATGATAACTGCAATATTATTCTCAAATATAATTTAAAACCTAGAATTAATAAGCTCTATCTCCAAGCTGCCAAAATAAAGATACAGCATACGTTTAATACATGCATATTAGTGAACCTTCTAGTGTACAATCGAAGTGAGAATAAGAGTTAATGGAAGATGGAATAATTAATTAACATAAGCAACAGTTATCAAAAAGAACGCCGCCAATTTAAGACATGAAATGTATGCAATTGTGGACCATACTATAAAATATCTGACACATATTATATACATTTATATGATTAACTTTGAAACTCAATTGCTCGTTGAGCGCACAGAAATCAATTGTGCGTGGGCTATAGTTATTTTAATTTATACTGTAATATCTGTATCATATTCTAATATCTAAGACTAAAACTGCATCCACTTTGACAGGCGTAGAAACGAGAACTTGGTATTGAAAAATAACTCCCAAATATTTAGTTTCCCTCTACTACACCAACCCCTTTCGTTCTTTCTCTCATTGGGATATATTTATTACACATACATCATGCTGCTGTGACGTCATTTCACGCGGTCTAGATACACGTAGTATGTATATAAGCTGACCTATGGACAGGTTTTTATTTCTTATTTGTGTAAACGAATCCAACTAAAATGAAAAGACGCTGACTTGAGACTTGTTTCGTGAATTCGACGTGAATTGACACAATGCTTGTGATTTTAAAAGAATCCTGATAAGGTTCGAAATTCTTATTGTGTTGTTGTAATGTATATACAGATTAATGGCTGTAATAGGTTTGTTTTCGGAGATATGGGAGCAGTCTGAATAATTTATTTGATGTATGTCCCCCGTGTAGACGTTAGTAAATTAAATATATACCGGAGTACCATCTCACTGCACGCAAAAGATTCACTTGACTCATCTCATACCTAGTGGCAAGAAATATGGATATGGTATATGCTCCGTTTTTCATTCTCTTGGGATCCGTTTGCACTTCAAAAGTACCATTGTACTTAGGCGGTCTATTCCCATTGACTTCTGAGTACCGCTCACAGGTGCTGCATTCAGCTTTCCTGGCAGTAGAGCACGTTAACAGCAATGACGATGTGTTAATCGACTATGAATTGATATTGTTGGCTAATGATACACAGGTAAGAAACAACACGCAGGTCGGTTCTTTGTGTATGCAAATTCAGTTTTTGTGTCTGGAAGTGAACTTCAATAGTACCATGCACATATACTTCATTATTACTATCATACACATCGACGAATTTTGTTGATACCATATAATTGGGAGTCGAGTTCATTATTCCACTCAATATAATAGATGGATTGGACTAGATGTTGGAATTCTCTGCACAAGATATATATGTAGCAGAAATTAAATAATATATTATGGCTACATGAAGATCACTTGATTCGTTTTCCAATAAATTTAAGATTATTGAAATGAAGTATATGTATGTATGACTTCACAATTAGACAATTAGACGTTTCCTTAAATGACTTGCTAACTCGAATGGAAGAAGGACGGTTAATAAAATATAGGTTATCAAAACTTTGGTTCGAATGGTGTGTCTTTCAAATATCGATTACCTATACGTATAATCTCGCTACCCACAGTTAGATGTTTATATTATACATATTATGTATCTTATGTAGGACACAATTGGTGGAACTTTGGACTCCTTATTTTACCAGTTATTCAACCCTCCTACAAAGATCATGATTGTTGGACCCCTGTCTTCAGAGAATGCAGAAGTGACAGCTGAACTCACTGGTATGTGGAACATTCTACAGGTAATTCATGGTTTTAAAATCTAGAACATTCAATAGAATAAGATAAATATAACTAATTGTTCGAATAAAAGTATTTGTTATGTTATGTTACGTGACGTGACAGCACCTATCGAACCAACGACTATGTAACATTTGTAAAGCAAAGCCATTGGACTAATATTATTAGGATCCAGTCGGATGTCTGTTTCATGTTCTTTATTAAAATATTTTTCACTAACGAAATCAATGCAACAATTAAGATATACAACGAACATTTTGTCTTTTTACAATGACACCCAGTTGTGGATTTGTATAACTGAAACTATAAAGAAACATAACTTTTAAAAACAATGTCCATTAATGTCGACCCTCCTCATAAACCTATTGTAATTCTAACTACTGTCTTATACTATGGTACTGGGAAGTATCATAAAGCACGTCTTCACATCTTGGTGATTAATATTAAACGTACAAATAAGAGATGTTTAATTGTCTGATCAATGTCAGCTTGAATAATGCATAGTTTAATCATATAGAGAGGGTATAGATTAATAATATATATTATACATGAAAATATCTACGATAACATTACGATGGTCAATGTCGTACGTCATTGGCAACTGATAACATCTAAACACGTTTTTCTTTTCATCTAAAACTTGTTATCATAACTACACCAAATGCTTATGCACTGTCTTTCGAGTTCGAATATGGGCAATCATCCTAAATTAGACAGAGTAACACATTTGGTGGTCAGAACCAGTGCTGAGATGATCAGATCAAGACACTGAGCTCATGTGTGCAATAAAAAACATTAACATTGTGGCCAAAAAAAAAATACAACAACAAAAAGACGATTGGCAACATCTGTTATTCAAAGTTATTAAGAGGATTATTTCCAAGGCAATGTCTGCAATCAGTGTCACGCTTTACTCGGTTATTACCAATTACACACGTTTTTATTATCACATTGTTGCTTCGAAGCGACACAAGTTGTATTCATGAATTATAAATAAGGCAGATCAATTCGAAAATGTTACTTTCCCGTCTTTCCAATTATATAGTTTCTTTGTCATTGCAGTGTGGATGGAATCACTCACATTTATGTCAATATTTAGTTTGAGAATATGCTACGTCGTCTCAGTCGTAAACTCATAATTAAAAGGTGTTTATCTGTAGAGGCAAGTGCTTGAATTATTAACGAACAAGCAAATCTTCATCCAGGGTCACGTGAATCGGATATGAATTCGCTTATTATCGTAAAATAACCTTATTGTATTTTTTGGTCAAATCAAAACTCTACATAGACAATTTAGGAGATCAGATGTTCTAATGTTGTTGATGAGGTAAAATAGCGAACGTACACTTCTGGCTGAATCATCGCAATAACACGCGATATGTGGCTAATTAGCAGCATTTAGCTGGAATTGACAGCTTACATAATTATTAATCAAATAAATTATTTCTTAAGCTTTTTCCGAAATACAGCCGTAAAAACGGTGACAATAGATTAGACATTGCCGATAATTTGTGTTGTTATTGTTATCTGAGGATGAGACTATTATTTGAAGCACCCTTTAGACTTGTTGAACGCCATAAGTGTATCTATCTGTCACTTGAAGCGATACATAGAAAATGGTATTGCCAGGCTTACCTCAACAAACAATCTTGAAAGTGAAATGCATTCCATAAAAATGATAATTCAAAATGTTTATACATGTTAGGGTCTGTCATGTACTATTTTGGTTAGTTTGTTTGTTTATTTGTTAGTTTTGTACGTCTGCTGTCAAGGGTAGCTTTGAAAGTTGTTGACTAATTTTACGATTTTTTTGAGGGATTGTCATTGTCTATAGAATTTTGAAAGGAACAGAAGCTGTTTTATCATGACTTTTTTTAGGCCGGCCGTCCTTGAAACAAGAACAATGTTTGTCATGGCAGAATGACCTTTCGGCGATATTCTTCACCATAGTCAGATAAGGTGATTGTGAGAGAGATTTGCACTTGTGTAGCGCCTTCCAGGAATTCGTGTGTGATTGATGTGTATATCTCTTGTATGCGACCAAATGTCTCGGCGTTCAATAATTTAATACTTGTACATGGCGGTGTTAACATGGAACCATAATAACATGCAAAACAGTGCTATGTGTATTAACACAAATTGCTACGTCATATTGACATTCATACGTTTGACACTGTGTACGAGATGGGATTGTTTATAAGAATTAAAAAATCTTAATTTGACATTACAGTTATTACTTCCAATTGTTAGGTTTCCTATGCTGGTTCTGCTCCGTCGTTGTCGAATCGAGCAAAATATCCATATTTCTTTCGTACATTATCTTCAATGGAAGAGTTCAATGCAGCCATCTTAACTTTTCTAAAACAGTTCCAATGGGAACATATTGCAGTATTGCATGAAATCAAAGAACCGTTTACATCAGTAAGTCAGTCTACAAATTTATACACATAATAACCGGAATGCATATCGTCGTCACGTGATCGCATACATATTATTTATCTCTGTCTCTTATTATGAGCTCCTGTCATTAACGTTATAATCCTAGTTATAGTTCTCTATGATATATTACACATATATTACACATGTGTTACACATATATTACACGTTGGAATCGCAAATACTTCTACTACTAATATAATCTCACTCTTATAGACTTCCAGCAACTTATTAGTTCGTCTTGCTCAGGCAAATTTTAGTATCATAGCTTCAGAGTCTTTTGCAGCGAAGCCCACTGAACAAATTCGCCAATTAAAGGTGAGTCATGTCAATGTTTACATAATTTCATAAATCCTTAGTTATTTTTAAGGTGTCAATTTTATGATTATATATTTTTGTTTTTTCCCTTCAGATAAAAGATGCAAGAGTAATAGTGGGTACTTTTGGTCCAGATTCGGCAAACAAAGTATTTTGTGAGGTACTGGTATTTTAGTATAGCATTTTGCGTTGTCATAACAAAGTGCGCGTTATTCATAGTAGATTGGAAACTCACATCTATAACGGAAAGTGAGACAAGTGCATACTTTAAGGTACTGTCACGATAACTTTATTAATATGTATTCCCCTGAATTGTAGGCATATAAACGAGGATTATACGGTCCAAAGTACGTCTGGATTATTCCTGGATTCTTTGTTCCGGAATGGTGGACCCAAGGGTTGGATAATTTGGATTGCACAGAAGACGAAATGCGGTTAGCTGTTGATGGCTATTTCAGCATAGTATGGGCAACATGGAGTAAAGATTCCAGGCATAGCATCTCAGGACAGGTATTAACAGTGCCCTTAATACCATAAGTACCAGTTAACAAATTGTATGTCAAATGTCAACAATCACATTAACATCTAATCACACAGTGAATGTATCTAAAAGAATGTGAATGGGATAAATAAATTGATATACACATACATACATTTGCAGACAGCTGTAGACTTCAAAGAAGAAATCACTGCGATGCTAAACACTGATAATTTACACGTACTACTTCCATGTGTTTACGACGCCATATGGGCATGTACTCTTGCATTAAACAATACTATCTTGCCAACTGGAAAATCTCTCGAAACGTTCACATACAGGGACAAGGAAACGACCGACATGTTGAAAGAACAAATGGATCATACAGAGTTTCTAGGTGTTTCAGTAAGTCGTGTATTTCTTGTTTGAATATAGCTCATCAGATGTTGTGACATAGTTGAAATTCAAAGTATCTGAAGTTGTACAATTGGCCATACGATATAAACGTATCTGAAATTGCGCAATTGGTCATACGATATAAAAGTATTTGAAATCGCACAATTTGCCATACGATATAAAATTATCTGAAAATTGTGCAATTGGCCATATGATATAAAAGTATCTGAAACCGCACAATTTGCCATACGATATAAAAGTATTTGAAATCGCACAATTGGCCATACGATATAAAATTATCTGAAATTGCGCAATTAGCCATACGATATAAAAGTATCTGAAATTGCGCAATTGGCCATACGATATAAATTATCTGAAAATTGTG